ATAGGAAAGGAGGTTTCAAACTTCCTTTATAGCCTCCTTTAGCTTAGGAACCACTGTACCTCCCTTTACAAAAGGAGAGGAGAAAATGCTGCCCCACAATGCATTGCAGCCGCAGCATTTGCCATCACACAGTCGGCCGTTCACGGAAAGAACCGATTATGACCGAGAAATTATATCATGAAAGTTACGGTGCTTATTAAGCATTTTAAAACGTATGTGGTAAGTTGCCAAAGTGCTTTGTTTTGAACGTTCATCAGTATTATAATCAAAAAGAGAAATATGAACGTTAGTTTTGACTGAAATGATCAAATAAAGTCAACATTTCACTGAGCTGTGTGGGGTTTGTTCAACTTTTAAAAGATGTTTGAATGGTGATATACATAGTGATAGGTGTTAAAGACTAACGTTTATAATAAATATATTTGTATTTATTTTCATAGTTCATACAATCATACGTATTGGGATCATTTGTATTAATGTGGATCGGAGGGAGAGGGTGACGAGCATAAGTTTAACTTTCCTTTTTTATTTCAATTCCAACTTTGGTCATGAAGAATATGTTTCTCTGTTGTCCACGTTCATAAAGCATAAAGCAACAGCATCAGAGCACGGTGCAGAGTCTCTAGATGAGTTTACAGTAGTCCTTATTANATACAGAAAAAAAACAAGCAGGGGTTTGTTTCTCTTCCTCTGTTAGGCTTCGTGGCTATGACCTCAGTCTCTCCAAGCTGTGGCTGTCACTAGCTGCCACACACACACACACACACACACACACACACACACACACACACACACACACACACACACACACACACACACACACACACACACACTAACAGCAATGCATAATTGATTGAACACAGTGTGCTGCAGGAAATGAATAATCCAAATCCCTAAACAAAATTGTGAGTGCTATGTAATACAAATAATATGAAATAACTTAAGAAATGTACCACTTATATGTAGTTTTAAAACAATTAAGTGGATTCAAACATTATGATCGAACTATTCCACAAATATGAAATATTGTGAAGTGTATTATAATAGCATTGAACTTGCGTGCAAAAACAAATCTTTTTTAGACTGTTAAATCTCCATGATTCTTCCTGACAGCTGAAATGAAAGTATTTCAGCTGTCAGTGTGTTGTTGTGGAATTACCTTCGACAAGCGTTTTGTTCTGACCCACTGTTTAAAGGTTGTGTGTGAAAGTGGAGGTCACACATGTAATGCCGGCTCTGTCAAACCAACAATATTTATAGAGGGGATGTTTTCCCTCATCATACACTCTCTCTGGTGCCCTCACTCTTATTTTGAGTAGTGCGGCCAACATCAGTGAGCACACACACACACACACACACACACACACACACACACACACACACACACACACACACACACACCCCTCCTGCGTGGTGTCAACAGGTGGTCATTTGTAATGGGGTTAGATACTCTCTCTCTCTGGCAGTGTGTCATGCTGTGCCACATGTCTGTGTAATCAGAGCTGCTCTCACAGGAAAGTAGCGTGGCTAGACAAGGTCTGCCGATGGGACAGCTGTCCACTGACGTGCAGCTCCATGACTTTCAATGACTTTCCATAACGCCATCGGTTTCCCTGAACAACAACGCTCTTTTTCTGCAGTACATATTTGTTAAAGAGGGCATAATGTGCTGATGTTCAGGTGTATATCAGTATGTAGTGTCTCTCCTGGGACATGTCTCCATGCTTTAATGTTCAAAAAGCTCTTTTCTCATACTGCCTGTGCCGCAGCACCTCTTTTCACCCTCTGTCTGAAACCAGAGCCCAGTCTGCTCTGATTGGTTAGCTGGTCTGCTCTGTTGTGATTGGTCAACCACTTAGAGATGTCCCGCCCCTTAGCCTATCACGTTCAATGTGTTGGAGTGCTAGCCAATAGGAGGCCGAGTGTCACATAGTGATGTCATCATGTTACTGAAGTAAACAAAGCCTTTTTTATATGTGAAATGCTTACTATGAAATAAAAATCCCAGTTCAGACGTATCAAGAAAGAGCGTTTGTCGGGTCGAGATAAATGTTGTAGTTGTCTGTCCTCATATGTTCTTTTGTTTCGTATATTGTAATGAAAATGTGCTAACTTACTTCTTGGCGGGAG